CAGGATCTTACCCCAAATAGAACTGCCAGTGGGCAGGGCTCCAGGTGGGCTGGGAGCCGCTGGGCAAACAAGTTCTGGGCTGCAAGTGGCTATGGCTAATCTGCACCAGGAATCACGACTCCATCTCTGAACCCAGGTTCTCACCAGGGCAGTCAAGAGACTGCCCTTTCCACGGGAGTACCCCGGAAAGGACATGACTGCACCCTCTGCGACCCGGATCCTCCCTGGCGCTCACACCGTGTCCTCCACCCCCACCCCATGCCCAAGCCAGGCAAGGCCAGAGCACCCTCCCTACAGTTAGGCAGCCCTGTACTCTAAGCAGCCGCCTGTCTGTGTAAACTGCTTTATGGACACAGCCACAGTCACCTGCATATGGAAGTCACTCTCTAAAGCAGCAGCTGAGATGGGACAGCGTGGCAGCAAAAGCCCACATTGTTACTGTCTGGGCATTATCAGAAGAGTTGGGGGTTAGCTGGGTATGGTGTGTGTTGATAACCCCTAGTACTTAAAGAGGGTTGCTGGAAGTTCAAGGTCTACTTGGGCCACGCGGTAAGACAACTCAGAACAACAAAAGGCGTTCAGATATCCGAAAATTAGTCCAACACTCCCTTCTTCTTTTTTTGGAGCTAGGGCTCTCATGTACCCAAGGTTAGCCTCAAACCTACATAGCTGAGGCTGGCAATGAATTCCCATCTTCCGACCTCTGCCCTCCCATGTACTGGGAATATGTACCACAACACTGGAAACTGAGGCAGGGCTTCGAGCAGGCTGGAATGGTCTACCCGTAAACTTGTTCTAACAACTCAAAGCCATACAGGCAAAAGGACGAGGTGGGGGTTCAGGGAAGCTGGGGTCTGGGGTGCTGATGAAGGGGAGTGCTAGTGCTACACAAGTCCTGAGCACCCTGCCTTGGAGTGACGGTGACAGGATGGTCATCTGCCTAGGAGACAGGGCATCGGCAACTGACAACTTTCCTAGAGACATTCAGGCCCTGGGAATCCCTGGCCATTTGCAAGGGCCTTCATCAAGATGGCCCCTGGAGGTCATGGTCATCTGGGATGAACGCCTTACCTCTCGTGTCCAGACTGGATGCTCTCTGGCTGGGCTCCAGCTTCCATTTCTTGACCTTGAAGTAGGGGCTGGCTCCATCCAGGCTGGCATGGCGGCGTAGCCGAGTGAAGAATTGCAAAACAGTGCCCGCTCCGGAGGAGCCTGTGCCCATCTCCCCAGGCACTGTCTCAGGCCCAGCAGGCTTGGCACCCCGGGTACCTGCATCTAACTGGGGAGTGAGGGAGACGTAGGGATTGTCAGGCAGGCACAGAATCCCCTCCCCAGCTGGCCCTGGCCCAATACCTGAGTCCCCATTAAGCGTGCCTTTGATCACCCCTCTAGCAGTCTCCTTTCTCAGGCCAGCGTCCTGCCCCGAATCCTGCCTTTCATGGGGGAAGGACCCTGCCTACAAGTTCTCTTCCTTGGGCTGAAGTGGAGCTGGTCACCCTTCCCACCAGCCTGGCTCTTACAGGGACTCCTAGGGTACTGCATTCTGGGAGCAGAGTGATTCTGAGAAGGAAGGCACCGTGATCTTGGGGTGCTGTAGAGAAATGGGAAGGAACCCTCACCGAGGTGCCCTCCCCAGAGTCACTGGAGGCTGAGGGGCTGATCTCCGAGAAGTCCACGGAGTTGTAGGGATCGCCTGGCAGGGCTGAGCTGGGACCCACTGAGTGGCCAGTGAGGGTCTTCCCAGGGGGCTGTGAAACAGAGGTAGGTGAGGGAGGAAGGTAGGTCCCATCTTCCCACCCCAGCCTGCCAGGATCCTGTTGAGGACCACAGGTGGCTGCAACCTTGACCTCACCTGGAAAATAGCCAAGCTGTCCTTGGGGGTGGCAGCTGGGTGGGGGGTGGCCGCTGCGCTGGCCTCCCCTGAATCACATTCATGGATAGTAGCAATTTTGAGGGGCGGTAGGTGGAGGTGGGTGAGGCGGGCATTCTTGAGGTGATGGAAATCCCCTTCTGTCAGGGTGTACCTATGTTGGGGACCCCAGCAGTCAGCCCTTGGCAGTCCCTAGCGTAGCATCTACATCTTGACAGGTCTCTCCCTAGTCAAGACTTTGTACTCCTAATGATGCCTCCACCTATTAAGTGCTGGGGTGACAGGTTTTTGTTTAATTTCTGAGACAGGGTCTATGTAAACCAGGCTGGCCTTGAACTCACTGAATACCCATCTGCCTCTGCACCCAGAGACCGCCATTTTTTGATTGTTTTTGTTTTGAGACCGGGTCTCACTCTAGCCTGGGTTTGGCCTTGAACTTTGCACTGCTCTTCCAGGCTCTGCCCACCATGTGCAGGTGTTCTTTTTAAAGGCAGGTCTTTGAAAGGCACCCATGGCTGGCCTGGTAGTTTCTACGCAGGCCAGTCGGGTCTCAGATCTGTAGCAACTGGGGCTGGAACCGTGACTCGGGAGGTAAGAGCACTTTGGGCTCTTGCAGAGGACCTGAGTTGGGTTCCCAGCGCCTGTACCAGGCCACTCAGAACCACTTGTAATTCTAGCTCGACAGAGATCTGATGCCCTCTTCTGGGCTCTGCGGGCACTTGAACTCACACGTACATACCCACACACAAAGACATAGAAATAGAGAAAAAATAACTCTAGTTTAAATTCTGCCTCAGCCTTGCTTGGGCCTCAATATCGATACTTACTCTACTACCCACCCTGCCAGCCCACACAAGAGACCCGAGCCACGGTCCCCAGCTTTCAACACCGAGCAGCTGTGACCGCCCCCTGACTTCTCTCACCGGCGGCCCTTGTCCTGAGCCTTGCGGCTCTGTTCGAACAAGGCAGCCTCGTTGAAGGACACGCGGCGGCCGGTGGAGCTGGTGGCTAGGAAGCGCTCTGTTTCGGTGTCCTGCCCCTCGGGGTCTTCCCCTCTGCAGTCGGGGTCTGTGAGGAGAGCCAAGAGAGGGTGGGCCCGGGGTGGGCCGCGCGTGTCTGGCTGCCAGGCAGGCCGCTGGGCAGGGTGGGCTGGGAGGGGGGCGCGGGCCGAGTGAGGGCAGGACGGGGCGGGCTGGGCGGGGCGGCGGGCACTCGCTCATCCGCTCACACACTCACTCGCTCTCAGCACGCGCCTGTGCGCACCTACGCCTGGGCGTTAAGGAAACAGAGATGAGTCGGACTCGAACTGCGCCCAGTCTGGTGGGGGAGACAGACAGACAGACCGTCAGGCGGCCCGAGGGGGCGGGCAGGGGGCCGAGGGGTGGGGCGCGGCGGGAAGCACAGTCAAGTGCAGCGAGGGGTGCTGCAGGCCGCGCGGGCCCCTCACCTTGTATAGGGTGGGTGCCGTTGTCCAGGTAGGTAGTGGTGGTCTTCTCTGCTTCCTCCATGGCTCTGAGGAAGAGAGGGCAAGGGTGAGCAGGGATGGGGACTGTCCACCATGAGGCTCTGCAAGCGCCCCTGGGCATGTCGTCAAGGGGTTCGTTCCCAGGGCATGCACCTGTTGAAGCGCTGGTGCACCTCCCAGCAGCGTTTGCAGAGCAGAAGAACGCCAGACAGTACCACCAGCGTGCCTCCAACGAACAGCGACATCACCACCACCAGCAGCACATAGTTGTCCAAGATGGGGTCAGGCTCCGCCTGAGTCGGGGTTGGGGGCACAGGGCGGGGCGTGTCAGGGCTCCGCCGCAGGGTGCACTTTCCATCCCACCTCTACCCCCAGTCTCCAGGAGTGACCCAACCCACCGTGGGGCGGCTGGTGGCATTGTCCCACGAAGTCGTCAGGGCAACCGTGGCGGTAGTGGCGGCCGCTGTGGCCATGGTGGCCGTGGGCTGCATTTTGAGACTACGAGTAGGGCATAGAGCCAGCTCAGGTTCAGCCTGCCCCTCCCCACAGGAGCCCCTGCAAGTCAGCCCCTATCGTCCCCGTGCAGCAGCAGCAGCGTCACTGGGGTGACTCATGTACAGGTGGGGCCGAGTCTTACAATGTGAGCACACCCCCCTCCCCATCCCCGCAGGGGTGCCTGAAGCCAAGGCTTTTTTTCTGCCCCCTAGGACCTCTCTTTAGCCATCTTTATCACATAAAAGGTGGCATTGCGCGTGCGCAGAACTCAGTGTGTGTGTGTGTGTGTGTGTGTGTGTGTGTGTGTGTGTGCGCGCGCGCGCGCGCGCGTGCGCGCCTGTGTCTGTGTAAGCGTGGCTTTTCCACATGCCAACCACCTCCCTGGCTGGCTGGAGTGGCTGGACCGGCAAGGTAGCGTAGCCATGCCCAGGGAAGGGAAAGGACGCTTGGAGGAACGAAGACGCCAAGCCTTCACAGCACACTGAGACCATATTCCCGGTGTCCTTCGTGCCTCAGGGTCTCATGGTGCAGAGAAGGAATTGAAGGTAGTGCACCTGAGGTGTGAGAGGGGCTGTACCAATGATTCACCCACCCCTAGTCACGACTCTATAGGAAAAGGTCCTTGTTCCCTACACTGGTGGGAGTGGTAAGGACAAAAGACGCTCATCTGTTCCTGGCCTGAAAAATCTGGTTCCCATGGCGACGGTGCGCAGGGCCGTGCTGGGGGGGGGGATGTTGCCAGGCAGAGGGAGGCGGGCGGGGGCGCGGCCGCCCACAGGGGCGACCCAAGGCTTGGGCAAGATGGCTGCTCATCAGGCCTCTGCCAGAAGCGTGGAGAAACTGAGGCTAGGGCACATCATGGAGCGGGGTGGATTCAGGAAGGGACTGTTAAATTGCACCTGACTCAGTCTGGGAATGAAGATGATTCTGGAGCAGTAGAGGCCGCTCTGGTCATCCATCCCTAGTTCCCACACCAGCGTGAGCATGCAAACCCCATTCCAATGGAAGAAGAGCCCGCAGGCTCCAACGTCACCAGTGTTTTTCTGACTGGATGTTGGAGGACTTGTGGGGGAACCTGAATAAACGAATGTACCCCTAAGAAGGCTACGTTTCCTCAGCGCTCCCAGGCAGAAGACAGCGGGCATCAATTTTAGGGGGTGGCAAGGGGCGCATATGTAGGTCGGGAAATGAGTTCAGGCTGGAGGGGGTGGGGCATGGTGAGGGTGGTAATGAGAGATGGGGGAGGAAGATGGCTGGCGACCCAAAGCGAGGAAGGAGGGGTCATGAGGGCCAGCGAGGACGCAAGCCTAGACATGGAGTCCTCACAGAACGTCCACCAGGCCCCCCAGTAGGATACGGTGCGGGAAAGCGCAGAGAACGCGATGCCAGGCTCGTGAGGATCCAGGAGGCCAAGGCGACATCGCTCTCGCTCTGTCACTAGGGTAAACTGAGGCCAAGGGCAGGCATAGGCGGGCTCCCTCTCTGGGCTGCAGGCGGTGGGCGGGGTGCAGGGCGGCTCAGGCCGTTCCCACGCACCGCTCCCTCCCCGGAGCCGCGCGCGACAGGACCGGTGGGCCAGGGCGGGCCCTGGAGCTGGTCGCCATCCCCTGGCCGCGCGTATCAGCCCGCCCGTCCCCGCCCGGTCCCGTGCGCCAGGGCCCGCCGCGCCTACCTCAGCGCCGGGGCGTGCGGCCCATGGGAGGCGGGAGGGCGGGCAGCAGACACACGGCTCTCCCGGTTGGCTCTGGAGCTCGGTGGCCGCGGAGCCGACGGAGAATTTATGAATGGAGAGAGAGCGCACGGGGGAGGTGCGCAGGAGAGGTGGGGCCGCGCACGTGACCGCGTTGGCGGTGCGCCCGCTTCGGCCCCTGGCTCTGTGCACCGGGTAACCGCCCGGTCCCGCAGCCTGACCGCCCCCGCCGCTCTCGCAGCCGCGTCTGGCTCGCACTGCGATGGTCACCGCCTCCCCTTCCCTTCCGGCGGGGGCGGGGGGCGGAGCCTGAGCTCCCGCGCCCCCCTCCCGCGGCCGCGCAGCCCCGCCCATCTCGCCCCTGCGCGACTCAGCCTACCTGGGTGCTGCAATGTCCTGGAACCCGGGTGCGGGCGGGGCACGTTACGCCCCTAACCTAACACCGGTATCTCAGGTCTTGGAGACCCTGGGCTATCTAGTTTGTCACCTGCTACTCCAGATGTGCAATTCCAGTTTGCGGATCCCCTTGGCCTACAAGCCATGATATCTGGGTACATCCCCCACCCCCGCCAAGCCTGTTTTTCCTATGCTGCTTTTTGGCAGGTTCGTCAATGGGTCCACCAGATACCCAATGCTGTCCCACACCTACTCAGAACTTGCCCTCAGAGCTGGGCGTGATGGTGAACACTTGCATTTGGAAGGTGAAATCAAGTGGATCAGGAGTGCAAGGCCGACCTCAGCTACACAGAATTCTAGGTCGGCTTAAGCAGCATGAGACCCCTTCTTCAACAAGAAAACCGTGGTGGGGGCTGAGCCGGAAGGGTGCCTGCGGCTGAGCCCGGGCACCCATGTCTCATACCTCGATCCCATATAGGAAAAGAAGAGTGCCTCCTCCCACAGGTTGTCCTTTGACACCCAAGGATGTGCTGTCACTAAGGGATAATGAAGTAATAACATTTTAACTTGCATCTACAGAGGTCTGTTATGGAAGGCTCCACACCTGATAACCCTTGCAGACAGTTCTCTTCCCGGTTGGTGCTTGGGGTCGAACCCAGGGTCGGTCCCATTTTACGAGCCTATTCCTCCCAGCCCTAACTGCTTCTTCCCTGCCAGCCACAGTCAAGTGTCATCATGAAGGTCGCTTACACTGGTCTCTAGGACACCATTCTCCTTTTTCTTCTTCTTCTTCTTCTTCTTCTTTTTTTCTTCAGTGAAGGTGATTAACACAGAGATTCAATCTCCCGGGCTGGCCTGCCCAACAAGGTTATCCTGAAGTTCGGGCCTTTGTCAGGACTCCTGGATTTTTGGGGGGTGGGGGGTGGGTGTGTCGAGAATTCACGTGCCTTTGAAGGCCAGAGGAAGATGTCAGATCTGAAGATGGAGCTGCAGGCAGCTGTTATTTGTCCCACACCGGCTTTAGGAATGAGGCTCCAGTTTCCTGGAAGAACAATGATGGTTATTAACCACTGGGCCGATGTGTATTTGGTTGTTTATTTACTGATGTTATTAACCTCCAGCACCCTATGTGTTTGTTTGTTTATTTATGTTTTTAAAAAAGACTTGTCTGGGGCTGGAGAGATGACTCAGTGGTTAAGAGCACTGACTGAGCCGGGCGGTGGTGGCGCACGCCTTTAATCCCAGCACTTGGGAGGCAGAGGCAGGCAGATTTCTGAGTTCGAGGCCAGCCTGATCTACAGAGTGAGTTCCAGGACAGCCAGGGCTACACAGAGAAACCCTGTCTCAAAAAAACAAAAACAACAAAAAAACAAAAAACAAAAAAGAGCACTGACTGCTCTTCCGGAGGTCCTGAGTTCAAATCTCAGCAACCACATGGTGGCTCACAACCATCCGCAATGAGATCTGATGCCCTCTTATGGGGGTGTCTGAAGACAGCCACAGTGTACTTACATATAATACATAAATAAATAAACTTTAATAAAAAGACTTGTCTGGTAAAGCACAGTGGCCATGGGGGTGGGAGAAGGACACTCAAGATAGGACGAGCATTATCTACCTAGGTTTCAGTTGTGGCTTCCTGGAGCATTTGAGGAGATATGGGGTCCTGGGACGTGGTGTATGCGTGTCTAAGAGCTAGAGTAGGGAAGGGGATGGGGTTTCTAGCTGCCCACTGCCCAGGGAAAGACTGTCCAGATTAGAGACTGGGAACTAGGTGTCTCTCATAGACATTGAGGCCAGGACTGCTGGCCTTTGAGCAGTCTGAGCTCCAGCATTTGTAGTTTGTAGAATGACAAAAAGAATCACCCTTGCATCCGCCGGGGGCGGACTCCGGTTCAAGAGTGACCATGACCCCTCTAGCTGCCAGCTGCTCCTCTAAGATACAACATGCATCCTTAAGTCAAACTAATGGCTTTCCTACTGCTTCCCCCACCAACTCTATGCCCTCATTTTCTGTGAACCTACGTGGTGGGGCATGGGGACCAAGAGCTGAGCGGAGGCTGGAACCTGCGTGAGTGCGGGGGCAGGGTGGTGACGTCATGGCCGAGAGCGAGGCTTCGCGGACACAACTGGCGTCAATGGGGCCCCTTGGCCGCCCGCGCACGGGCTCCTGCGTCAGTGGCACGCAGGGGCGGAGGCCCGCAGGGAGGGGACCGCAGAGAAGAACGAGTACATCTCCAGGTTTCGCGCGCCCTCTGCCGGCTTCCGAGTGCATGCCACCCAGTAACCTCTTTGGTCAGCCGCTTCTCTCCTGGCGCAACCACTCCCTAGCACGCACCGCAGGGAGCATCATGAAATGTATTTATTTTATTTTATTTTATTTTATTTTATTTTATTTTGTTTTTTCGAGACAGGGTTTCTCTGTGTAGCGCTGGCTGTCCTGGAACTCACTCTGTAGACCAGGCTGGCCTCGAACTCAGAAATCCGGCTGCCTCTGCCTCCCAAGTGCTGGGATTAAAGGCGTGCGCCACCACCGCCCGGCTGAAATTTATTGATTTATTAATTTATTTATTCACTTATTTAGCAGCTTCTCATGATGTAGACCTGGTTGGTCTCAAACTGACGGAGCCCCGCTTGAGTCTTCTTCCGGGGAGCTGGGATTAACTGCGCCTGGGTTATATTTGATTTTTTAAAAATGTATTCGGCTGAGCACTTTTGGAAATAGGTTCTTATCTATTTCCCGAGTGCGGGAATTGCAAGAGTACGTCACCACATTTGGCTGATAGTCTACATTTTAATTCTTCTCTCCCAGCACGTTACAGGTTTGCTTCTTTGGGGCCTCCAATGCGCGTTAAGTGCCTCTACATTGGTTGGCACCTGACATTAAGCCGGCATCTCTTCAGCACAAACGTCCCCTCCTGAGGAAAGGTATCCATTTTGCAGAACCGCGTCCTAAGGACCCAGGGCATCATTTGCTTTTAGAAGGCGGTGAAAACTACAATTCCCAGAATGACCCACGCGGCATAAAAGGATTCCCACTTCTAGGCAGCACGCAAGGGGTGGGGCTAAGGGAAAGTATATCTCCCAGAATGCTCAGCGCGTTCTGCATCGCGCAGCCTTCCGAGTAGTGCGCGCGTGCGTTCTTGTGGGAACTGCGCCTCCCAGAAGGCATCGCGCGTCGTGCTCCTAGCCCTCCCTGAAGGCCGCCTCGTTCTCCCGGTGTGTCCGCTGTCCGCGAAGCCAGGGTCCACTGACGTTTCCACCACCATGCTGCCTGCCGCACTGCTTCGTCACCCGGGCCTGCGCCGCCTGGTGCTTCAGGCACGTACGTACGCCGAGGCCGCTGCCGCACCTGCGCCCGCCGCCGGGCCCGGACAGATGTCCTTCACCTTCGCCTCCCCGACGCAGGTACAAACTCACAGTCCCGAGTCGTCAAGCCCCTGACTTGACCAGTGGGAGATGGTCACTTGTATTGGGTCTCAAGTTTCACCCCCGGGGTGAACCCCCGCCCTCTCCAGGCCTCGCCCCTGGACGGGGTCACCTGGACCAAGGGCTCGTCCTTTCTGTGCTCTCCGAAACTCAATGCTCCACCCCCAAGGGCGTCACCTAGACCTAAGACTCCACCCTCTGGGGGAGTGGATCACGTATACCTGGAAACCAGATTTTGCCTTCTGAAGGGGTGTCACCAGGACCACAAGCCCTGCTGTTTTGGGATGTCCTAGGCGCCACACCTTGGTGGTGATCACTCGGGCTTCATCCTTGAGTGTTCTCTCTCACATTCATATGAAACCCAAGCTCTCCTCAAGGCTTAGGTGGTGTCACCTGGAGCCTAGGATTCATAGTGACCACAGATCAATCCCTTTGGGGTTCACATGGATCACAGTTTCTACCCGTGGGGGATTCCCCACGTCCCCAAGCAGGAGTCACCAGTACCCAGACCTGGAGCCCTTCTTAGAAATTTCCTGGACCCAGATCCTGAAGGGTCATCTGGACTCAGAACAGAAGCCCAACCACTGTTACAGTCACCTAGGACTGACCCAGGCTCCTGTTGGTTTTGCCTGGATCTAATACCCTAATTGTATAGACATCAGCCAGGGTTACCAGCTTACAGAGTGCTGTTCATATGCCTAGCTTGGTTTTACATTTTGGGCTTCCTCATTACAACTTCTTGAGTGTCCTGAGACAGCCTTAGTGTTTTCCAGAAGCCCCATCCCAGGGCCGGGGCCACATGCTGCACTGCACTGCCCTGTGTTTCAGTCACCTCTTCTAGACACTCTTTTAGACATATCATCCCATTTCACAGTTGAACAATCTGAGTCTAATGGCAGCTCTTGGTAGCTTCTGTGTCCCATCTGGATTTGATCCTTCCTGTGCCCACTGTACAGCAGGAAAGTCCAGTCTCTGGCACAGGGTAATGCCTACTCCATGTCATACACTCTCCGCAGGTGTTCTTTGACAGTGCCAATGTCCGGCAAGTGGATGTGCCTACGCTGACTGGAGCCTTTGGCATCTTGGCGTCTCATGTCCCCACACTACAGGTCTTACGGCCTGGGCTGGTAGTAGTTCACGCGGAAGACGGCACCACAACTAAGTATTTTGGTGAGTGTGGCTCAGGATGAAGAGAGGTTCAGGTCCGCAAAGGGCAGGGAAAAAGCAAAGAAAAGGGCATGCACAACTTCCCAGACAAGCATGTGGTCACGCGGGGTACAGAGGGAAGCAAACGGCTGACCTCACCTTAGCCGAACAGGAAGAGATGCAGAAATGACTGTTGAAGAGCTAACCTTCAGGGTAGGACTGCTTCTGTGTAGGAGGGAGCCAGTCTGAAGGACCCACGTTTCAAGGTTGGACTTCCTCCCATGTTGCCCCTTCTCCAGATGAAGGGGTGTGTGCTGTCGCCTCTCGTCCCTTACTATCTACCACTATTCACGATGGAGCCCAGGGCTGGAGAAGCTTTCTAGGCAGGGGATCTAGTACACAGCCACCGTGGGGGACTCCTGCCAAGGACTCCAGCCCTGAGCCAGGCCCCGCATGCTACTGTTCTGTTTGGTTCTGGATGGGCAATGCCAGCGGGGCCATGGAGGGGCGGTGGGAAGGCGTGTGGACACAAGATGGAAGGACATTGGAGGTGTCCTCTTCTGTAAGTTCTCTCTGTCTTCATTCTTCTGAGACAGGGCAGAACTAGACTTTGCCATGATCTTAGCTATGTAGGCTGGCAGGGAGCCACAGACCGGCTTAGGATTAGAGCACCTTGGCCTCACAGCTCCCCCAGCCCCAACTCTGGTTCTTCTATCTGCACAGTAGGTGCTGTCTCTAAGCTGCCTCTGCAGCCCTTTTTGTTGTTGTTGTTGTTGTTTGTTTGTTTCCTTTCTGTTTTTCTTCTTCTTCTTCTTCTTCTTCTTTTTTTTTTTTTTTTGTTTTTTGAGACAGGGTTTCTCTGTGTAGTCCTTGCTGTCCTGGAACTCACTCTGTAGACGAGGCTGGCCTCGAACTCAGAAATCCGCCTGCCTCTGCCTCCCAAGTGCTGGGATTAAAGGCGTGAGCCACCACCGCCCAGTAACTGGTTCCTTTCTGACTTTAAAGCAGGGTCTCCTGTAGCCAAGGCTGACTTTGAATTCCTGATCCTCCACCTCCTGGGTAGCGGGGATGACAGGTTTATGTCGGCACACCCAGTGTCTGCCTTGCTGGGGCAGTCCCCAGGGTCTTGCGCATGCCAGGCAAGCACAGTACCTACCGTGCCTCAGCCCTGGGTCCTATTTTGCACTTAGTTTGAGAAAAGACCTCTCTGTGTTGTCCTGGCTGGCTTTGAACTGGTAGTCCCCTGCCTCAGCCTCCCCAGGGTCTAGATGACAGGTGTGCACCAGACCCAGCAGTCCTTTGCAGCCACCCACATGCTTGGCCTGAGCCCCAGTCCTGAAAGGTCACCCTGGACAAGTGGCCTCAAGTGGGCATTGGGCTGGGGAGGCAGAGGACTGGTGGCCTGAGCACACAGGGGAGGTCGAGGCTGTGTAGGTGTCTCCGGAGGCCACTCAGACCTCTCTCCTCCATAGTGAGCAGCGGCTCTGTGACTGTGAATGCAGACTCCTCTGTGCAGTTACTAGCTGAAGAAGCTGTGACACTGGACATGCTGGACCTGGGGGTGAGCATTGTGGGGGGAAACTGAGGCTGAGGGCAGGGCAGGTGTTGCCTGGGAGTCCCCTGACTGCTGGGTAGGCAGCTCACAAAAGTGTGGTGTTCTGCAGGCGGCCCGGGCCAACCTGGAGAAGGCGCAATCAGAACTGTCAGGCGCGGCGGATGAGGCAGCACGGGCCGAGATCCAAATCCGTATTGAGGCCAATGAAGCCCTGGTGAAGGCCCTGGAGTAGGCGGTACATGTCTCTCATCCACGGGGAAACTGAGGCAGGCCCATGCTAATGAAAACTTCCCAGGGGGCTGAAGTCACCACCAGGGGGCAGCAGTGCTCTGGTTGCTGAGCTTACAGCTTCCTGGTGCCTGCCAGGTCATGGAGGTCTTCCCCCCAGGCCTCCACAGTCTGGGATCCCCACGAGCCTCTGGAGAGCTGGCTGTGATTGCTCCTGGGGCCACCTGGACAGTCAGCCTGCCCAGCCTGTCTCCATTAAACACCAGGAACGAACTGAGTGTTGTTTCTAACTGGGTAGCACAAAGCCAAGATTCTCCTCACCTCTGCCCGGGCTTCCTGTATCTGGCTGGGCCCCCTCTTCCCCCGCCCCCCCAGCACTCAGTGACTCTGGGTAGAACACATACATGGTGGCAGGCCGTAGGGGTGCTACCTGTCGGAATGGGTGGGATGGACAAGGGTTGAGGGCGGGGCATGGAATAGTGGGCGTGGTAGAAGCTGCTGACCACCAGCCAGGCCAGGCCCTCCCTTTGAGGCCCCCCCTGCCCCACCCTACAGGCTCTGGGAAGAGGCGGGAACCACCTGCTCCCACAGAGGCCCTGCCCTAGACACACCCAACCTGTGGGTGGCCCTAGCCTGGCTGGCTACCTTCCCAGTCCCTGGTACGGTTGGCACCTCCTTAGACACTTAGGCCCCTTAGCTGGCCCTGGGTGGGGTGGGGTGGCTGTGAGGAGGTGGCCTTGGCACCACCCCACCACTTTGTACAACTACCTGTCCCACACCCAACCCACCCCTCAGTGGCCAGATACTATGCTGGCTTGCCCTCCTTTCCCCTACCGCTGCAAGAGCCCGAGTGGGGGACCATGGGAGGCTGGGGGTACTTCCAGGGTGGTGAGTAGGTCTGAGCCTGCCATCACTGGGTCATCTGAAACACCTGGACAATGACCAGCAGGCTGGCCAGGGCCTGAGTGAAGCCTGTCATAGGGCATTAGGGCCCTGTGTGGGTGACTCCCCTTGGCCACATGTGCCTGATACGGGCATGAGTGGGCTAGAACCCCTCCCTGCTGACACTTGCAGCCTGGGGGTATTCCAAGGTAGTCACAGCACGGTCATTCTAGATCCCCGACTTGCCCAGCTCTGCCTCAGAGATGTGTGGGCCCGAGAGGTCACTGAGGTCATCAGGCTGGGAGCCCAGGACCTGAGGACCTGACTGACCAGGCCACCAGGGGCCCTACCAATTAAGACACAGGCTGGACAGATGTCAACAGGAGGCCCTCAGAACAACCTGGCCTAAGCTAGTACCCCTCGTGATGTGAATCCTTTGTCCCTTCCCCACCAGAACACAGGGAGGGTTCTCCTACAAGGAGGTATGAGCTTTGGAGCCCGGCCTCAGAACAGGACAGCCTGTGCTGGCTGGCCTGTGTCCTGGGACAGCAGGCGGTAGGGCGGAACTGAGGGCCTGGAGGTTGGGACCTTCCTGGATGGCAGGGCCTGGACAGAGTACTGTCTTGGGCTTCACACTAAGGACAAAGGACCATATAGGAAGAAGAGGCAGAAAGTCTGGGCACCCTGCATTTACTACACTGGCTTTCAGTATGAACGGGGTCAGAGCCAGCCCACCTCACCTGTCCCACCTGTGGTCCCTCCTGAGGGCAACCCTGCCTCTGTCGTCCACACTCTACTGCTTCAGTTTGTACTTCCTGAACAAACTAATGCTCATCCCTTAAAGTCTCTGGGCCTCCAAGTGTTCTCTGGCCTGTCCATGACCCTGGGAGCCTGGGAGTGTCGGGGCACGCCTGTCTGCTTGGGGCCCAGCATGCCTGTCCAGAGTGATCAGCCAGAGCAGGAAGGAGACCTCGGAAGGAACTGGCCTGGGAGGGGCACCCAGGGTGGTGGGGGTGCTCAGACCAGATAAATGCAGGAGACCAGAGAAGTGGGCAGGAGATGGGAGTTAGGGAAGTGATGGAAGGTCTGGCCCCACTCAGACTTCTTCAGGAAGTCGCCTGTGGAGGCCACTCAAGTGACAAAGGGCTGACTTCCTGATCCATAGGGTGGGTGAATGTCCACCACAAAGGCAAGGACCACTCTGTGCTGTGAGGACAGACTGCACATGTGGGGCTGCAGGAGGCCTTCCTTGGGCTGTCTGGTGCTTTGTAATTGACCCAGAGGGCCTTGGAGATACATGTTGGTTCTGCCAAGCCCACTGACCCGAGTTGACTTATGGAACTCATATGCCAGAGAACCAACTATGCTATGGTGTAGGGTGTGTTAGGGACTGGGCTACTCAGAGGTCACACAGGTGACTGGCCTGGGTAAGGCCAGGGATGGTTGAATCGTCACAGAAATGGCCTCTGAGGTCATCGTTAAAGGATGTGGAGGCCAGGCAGCTGTCAGGGGCACCTACTGCCTAGCAGGTGACACTGCCCTGTTTTCCTGGACCCAGGCTGCTGACTAAGGAACCCCTTCCCGTCCCGCCCCCCCTTTCCACACACGGGCGCCCCCAGGCGGAAGCACCAAGCCATCAGGAAAGGGGGCGGAGCAGGGAAGCAGGCCAGACCCCCCCCATCCTAATGTGAGGTGCACCCCAGTACTTGAGGAGGTAGAAGTTACCCAAGCCGGTGGCACCCGTGAGGGAGGCACTGCTCTGTGGGTGTTGCGAAGCCCTAGGGCCAGGTGTCCTGGTCTAGGCCAACAGGCGGGGAGTGGGGAGGGGGGGATGCGTCACCGTAGCCCGGCCCCCCGCCCCTTGCCCGCCCAAACTCCACCCCAGGGAAGGCGGCGCGGATAAAGGCTCGTGGGCCGCCCGCCCGGCCCCAGACCGGCACGGCCACCTCTCGCCACAACCTATACGCAGGTTGTCTGGAGCAGTGGTGATACAGGACCTACGGAGCCGGGTGAGTAGAGGCGGGGCCGCACGAATCGGAGAGGGGTCTCCACCCGCCGTGAACTTCTCAGGCTGCCTCACTCTTTGTTCTTTGAACCATCACCACCTAGGGTGTCTCAGGACAGGGAGCCCTCCAACTTGTGAGGTGGGAGGGGCTGCACGCAATGGGCACCGCCCTGGCGGGACCGCAGCCCACGCCCCCCACCCCGCACTCCGCCTTTCCAGCCAATGACCTTGAACTAGTTGTAGATAGACTCAGTTTCCCTTTATTTTCGGTCTTAGTCTTCTCTGCATGCTAAGTCTAAAGGTTCTCAACGTAGTCTCCCCACAAGCAGACCCCCCAATTCTCGGCGCGCCCTTAACCCAGCCAAGACACTCGGCACTCCTCCCCCGGAACTCGGGCAGCGCTCCCGGGCGGGGACTGAAGAGGGCGCACCGGGGCTGCTGACTCACCGCTGCCCGGAGCGGGGCGCGCGCGGACGCAGCCAGGGACGCCGCATCACGTCACGGCTTGGGCGGGCGCACCTCGGGAAACGGGCCGACCAGGGATTGGGAAGGGAAGACAGAAAAAAAAAAAAAAAGAGGAGGGTGGGTTAGGTTGGGACGCGAAGTGACACTGGTTCGGGAGGGACGGATCTAATCGAAGCCACGTCACCGAGCTGCAGGGCCCTGCCCAAGCTGTGGGTCCCGCCCAGGTTCTCCAGTATCATTGCATCCACCCACCCACGGGGGCGGAAGACTGTCCTGTCCTTGAGAGGCCAACCCGCGACCCTTAGCCATGAGGCTCAGGGCTCAAGCGACAGCTTCCGCAGGCTGTTGCTTCCTGGATAGACCCAGCAGGGAGGCCCCACGGTTTCCTGTTCCTTAGTCGGGAACAATGGCCAGCCCCTTGCCTTCTCTCCAGACCGCTCCCGTTGCGGACGGGAGGGGTTATGGTCGCCTGGAGGGGCGGGGAGGGAAGGTGCTAAGTCCTCCAACGCGGGTCCGCTATCCTCAGGGCCCGCCCGCCCTTTGTTGAGGTCTCTGGGCCTTATGAATGGCTCTGAGCGCTGGCGGGGGTCGCCGGGGCTGGTCGGGAGCGGCATCAGCCCAACCCTCTCGGCATCTCCATTGGACGCTGAAGGGATGGGGCGGAGCAAAGGGGAGGGTCTCGCTGCCACGTGGGGTAGCTCCGCGGCAATCCTCATTGGCCCGGTAGCGAGCCGGACTGGGCGGTCTGTGTGTGTTGATTGGCCTCCGCCAGGCCGGCGGAGTAAGTAGTGAATGGGAGGGGGCGGTGGTCCCGCCCATTGGAACGTTGATACATGATAACTTTTTTTTTCTTCCTACTTTCACCCCCAGATCTTGCGAGCGACGGCTGCGACTGTTGCTAAGGGAAGGGACGCGCGGGGTAGCACGACCCGAGAGGGATCCAGACAACCGTGCAAACCAGGATAGCTCACCCCGTTTCTGTAGGACCCTCCCCGTGCCGTACCCAGGTCGCTGTCATCCGCCCTTGAAACCTGATCACAGACCCCACCCCGGGGCGCAACCCAAGGATCCCACGCGACCCCGGAGCACCACTCGGATTCTTGATTGCCGGCTCAATTGCTAACGTTGGGACCTTCCCCAAGGGGCGCACGCACCGCTCCTGTCCCTGGGCGCCCGCGGAGCGGAGGAGGACCTTGTTTCGGCGGGGGAGTCCCGACAAGGATTGGAGGCGACCCGCAGGCCCCCAGTTCTCCTGCGCGCGCCGGGGATGGAGCCGCAGCCCGGCGGCGCCCGGAGCTGCCGGCGCGGGGCTCCGGGAGGCGCCTGCGAGCTGAGCACGGCCACGGAGTCGGCCGCACCCATGAGCCTAGCGATCCACAGCACCACGGGGACCCGCTACGACCTGTCGGTGCCCCACGACGAGACCGTGGAAGGGCTGCGCAAAAGGCTGTCCCAACGCCTCAAAGTACCCAAGGAACGCCTGGCGCTGCTTCACAAAGACACGTAGGTAGAGCGCCGCCCCCGCCTGCGCGCCCCCTGGCACCGGGCCGCCCCCTCGGGCCCGGGCCCCGGGCGGGAACAAAGAGCGCGCCGCGCGGGGAAGCAGGGGGCACCCAGACGGGGGTGGGGGGGCGGGGGCGCGCGGCGCGCTCTCGGGCGCCCTCTGCTCGGCCTTACTTGCTTGGGCCCCCTCCCCCGCCGGGGTCTGCACAAAGGCAGGAGCGCCCTTCGGGGCCTCAGGGTACACGGGAAATACACGGGTGACAGGGGAGTTGTGGGCCCCTGGGATAGCACGAGGAGGGGTCCGTTCTCTGCGTGCCTGGAGGGGGGGTGCACAGCCACCCCCTCTGCCGGCGGTCTCGCCGCTTCCGCATCTGTTTGGCGGCCCCCTCTGCGTCTGGCTGTCCCCCATCATTTGCGTCTCTCTACCCCCCTTTGTTCTCGGTTCTCCACACCTCCCCCCCACCTGGTATTTAAATCGTCTCCAGACCAGGGAGTCCCCCCCCCCCGTCCCCTCGCGGGCCTCTGGGGACACGCAATGTCCATCCCCAGCGGAGGGGCCCTGGTGGGGGAGGGGCGAGAGGGGGAGGGTCTCCTTTGTTTGAGCGGCGGGCCTGTGCCGGGGAGGGAGGAGGGGGAGCCTGGTCCGCAGAGCCCCGAAGGCCTCTCTAAAAGGGCCGGAGCCCCGCGGCGCCCACAAAGACGAGCCTGGGCAAGAATTGGAGAGTTGTAGGCAGGAGCTGGCCTGGAGAGAGGCGCGGGGGAGGGGGGGTGGCAAAGGGCCCACGGGGCTCAGGTGATAGCAGAGTCTCCTGTCCTTGCAGATGGGGTTAGTGCTTTCACCTGGAGTTAAGTGTCAAGGCTTAGGGTCTCCCAGAACCAGCAGCCTCTCCACAGGCACTCGGGTCTGGAGAGCGGTGGGGTGGGAAACGCTCCTCTGTCCTCCCCTCTCCTTGGGCACAGCCCTCCTCCTCGGCCTCCGCTTCCGCGTCTCTGTGTTGTCTCCCGTCTCACCCTCTTCCTTCCTACCCCCAGCCGGCTCAGTTCGGGGAAGCTGCAGGAATTCGGCGTGGGGGATGGGAGCAAGTTGACGCTCGTGCCCACGGTGGAAGCTGGCCTCATGGTAAATGACTGAGGGGCGCGTGCCCTGGAGGCTTCTCTAATCCCCTGGCCACCTCACTCCACAAATGCACCATTTTGCCCTTGCAAAGAGCTCTCCCACCGCCCCTAACAGGCAAGGCCCCCTCCCCACTCACTGCTCTAAACCCACTCTGAGGTTACTCTTCCGTCCCTCTCTTTGTAGTCCCAGGCCTCGAGGCCGGAACAGTCCGTTATGCAAGCCCTGGAAAGTTTGACCGAGACCCAGGTAAGGACCCACCACCCTCCCCCTAAGCAGGGGAGGGGGGGACTACAGGCAGTAGCCACGCCTAGGGACCTGGCAACTCTCAGGACACCCTTAGAGAGCCTCCAGTTGTTTGTGCTTCCCTGGTGGCCTGTGGGGGAGGGGACGAAGGCCCCGCCTTGGTGCCAGCTTGGCCTGGTCACCCCGCTTCCTCTTCCTCCCTGCCTCCCCCAGCACCTGACCACCTGACCTTGAGAAGTTTTCTCTCCCACGGTGGCTGCCACGGTTGGGGGGAAGGGCTAGTCTTTGAACCAGCCCTGACTGTGGGTGACCTTGGCCCATGCTCTCTGGAGGTTGGACCCTTCTTGGCCCTATAAACTTTCCTAGTGTGGAGTGTGCACCCCTTAAAATAACTCAGTTGTGTGCGTTTGCACCTCTGTGGAAGGAAGCAGGGTGACAAAACTTCCATGTGGTGCAAAGGGGTGGGGACTCCCCCCCCCCCCCTCTGGTCTTTGTTCTCTGCCCCAACAAGGGGAGGGACAGGCAGGGGCACCCAGCCCAGGGCCAGGGAGGCCTCCACAGGATGTTAAGAAAATATTTAGTAAGCAGCCAGGAGGGAGGCTGGGCCTGGCTCTGAGGACTACTCCCAGTTTTGTTGAGGCTTTCCCCTCCTTCCTCCCTTCCTCACATTCTTGGCTACGACAGGGCCCTCCACTAGCAGCCCCTAGCTTTTCCAGTACAGCGACACAGGCGCCCTGGGGAATGGTGTGAAGACTGCTGCTTGTTTGGCGGGGGGCAGGGTCCCTGCACTCCCCTGCCTGGGCCCTGCCTGGGCCTACATACAGGACACCTGCCCATCTAAGGCCTTCACTCCATTGGTTGGAAACGTGTCCTATCCTGCCTCCTAGTGTAGGGGGCACAAGCGCTCCAGAGCTGGGTGGCTCTGCTTCTCTGGGAGGGACCCAGGGAGAACAAGGAGGTCCTAGAAAACAGACTACGCAGGGGCTTTTTTTTTCTGGGCCAACTTCGAGCAGCTTTGCCTGCTGGCCTGTGGGGGATGTGCCCGACATGAGGAAGTCAGAGGGGGGCGGTGGGTGGGCCTTGAGATTCCCACGGAGGAAATTCTCACCTGGCCTCCCATTTCCCCTTCCCAGTGTAGAAGGGGGTGACCGCAGGTGCTCAGAAAGCTACTTCAGGCTTTTCCCTGTAGAGGGGTTAAGATTGAGGATCTGTGGGGGACTGGGGAGTTCAGGGTCGGCTGCCTTCTTGCCTGTTCAGCCCTTTGTCCCCTGCCCACGGGCCCCAAGTGGAGAAGGTTCCTCCAGCCCCCTGCCAGCAGAGCCAGGGGAGGGAGCTCTGCCAGGCGGGTCTGGTGTGACTCATAGCCTCTGTGTCACTTCTCAGAAGCCTCCGCCCCCCACCCTGGCCTCTGGGGAGAACAAGGCTGATGGCCAGGGCCCCAAAGGTTGGAGAGAGGGTGCCCAGTGTATGTAAGGGTCAAGTAATCCCACAGATCAGCCCCTATGGAGTGGGGGTGTGTGTGAGTGAGTGGCTGGTAGGTCAGAGAGCTACTTACCAGAGCATGTGGAGGCCCTTGGGGACAGTCCTCCAGGCTTCCCCTTGTCTTCTCACGACCCAGGACACATAAATATTTACCTTGGGAAAGCAGAGGTTAAGTGAGGGGTCCCTTCAGGATTCAGCTGGCCCCTGGTGTGGCTTAGCTGTGAAGGATAGCGTGACAGGATTCTCCCCTGCTAGATTCGTAGGCAGTCAGGATCTGGGGACTGAGGTGGGAAAGGGACAGGTGTGTGATACTTCAGGGAGGGCAGTGACCATCAGTTGGGCCCCACCCCTTCTGGTCTCAGTTTCCCCTTTAAAGGACCCAGTTGGCTGGGAAGAGCCAGAGACTCCAATCTGACCCACCTCTGTCCCCCCCACAGCCCCCAGCGACACCCGGGCCAGGCCGGGCTGCCGGAGGAGGCTTCCGGAAATACAGATTGATTTTATTTAAGCGTCCGTGGCACCGACAGGGACCCCAGAGCCCAGAGAGGGGCGGCGAGAGGCCCCAGGTCACACACTGCGGGGGAGAGCTGGGCTGGGCTGGGCTGGGGGCATCGTGGACGAGAGCCACATTGGCTGATGAGGTGTCCGCTTCTCTCCTCAGGTCAGTGACTTTTTGTCTGGCCGCTCGCCATTGACCCTGGCCCTGCGTGTTGGGGATCACATGATGTTTGTACAATTGCAACTGGCGGCCCAACACGCCCCGCTCCAGCACCGCCATGTGCTCGCTGCCGCTGCCGCAGCAGCCGCTGCCGCCCGGGGAGATTCCAGTGTAGCTGCCCCAGTGTCCTCGCCTTGTAGGCCGATGTCCAGTGCCACCCGTGTCCCTCCAGTATCCAGCAACCCTTCCTCACCTGTGTCCCCCTCAGCTGTCACTGCCGGCTCCTTCAGATCCCATGCAGCCTCCACAGCCTGTCCTGAGGTGAGGGTGCAGAGACTCACACGGGGCTCTAGCTGTAGCCGTGTAGCAGACGCTGCTGCGCTGATACAGCACACCTGGAACCCTGGACGGTCCCCAACTGCCCTAGAGGCTGGGGAAGTCTGAGCCGAGGAAGGGACCCATCACAGCAGTACCCATTTGTCAATCTCCCAGCAGCAGATGGACTGTTCTCCACCCGCCAGCAGCAGCAGCAGCAGCAGCACGTCGACCCCGGGCAGCAGCCCCAGCCCCCGATCCCGAAAACCTGGTGCGGTCATTGAGAGCTTTGTAAACCACGCTCCAGGGGTCTTCTCAGGGACCTTCTCTGGTAGGTGTCACCACATGAGTGGCGTTGGCATCTCAAACTTGAGATCCAGTATGCTGGCTCTGCTCACTAAACAGCTTCTCCTGCAATTTGGGGCATGCACCTGTGTGGGTCTAGACACACACATCGTGCTGTTGGTGCCAGTGTAGTTAGTGTGCTTCACCGGGACATTGAGGCAGTGCCTGGCCTCAGCGCCTTCCTCGGTGGGGCCGTCCACACAGAGGCTCTACCCTGGCTCAAGCTCCAAGCCGACTTTTTTTGGATTTTTTTGTTTGTTTTTCAAGACAGGGTTTCTCTGTGTGGCCCTAGCTGTCCTGGAACTCACTCTGTAGACCAGGCTGGCCTTGAACTTGCAGAGATCTGTCTGCCTCTGCCTTTGTTAGCCAACTGCTGGGATTAAAGGTGTGTGCCACCCTTCCCAGCACTGGCTTGGAGTGTGAGACTTTAGTATAGCCTCCTGGGTAACTAGGCTGACAGGTGTGTGCCCCCAGGCCTGGACGCCTGCATAGCCAGCGTGTGCAGATCCGCCTGACCTCTCTTGCTGACATGCTTCTAGAACTTTGATTACTTGGGCTCATGACCCTTTCATCTCACAGGCACACTGCACCCTAACTGCCAGGACAGTAGTGGGCGGCCTCGGCGTGACATCGGCACCATTCTGCAGATCCTCAATGACCTCCTAAGTGCCACAAGGCATTACCAGGGCATGCCACCCTCACTGACCCAGCTCCGCTGCCACGCGCAGTGCTCACCTGCCTCACCAGCCCCTGACCTCACCCCCAAAACTACCTCCTGTGAAAAGCCGGCAGCCACATCCCCCACGTCCCTGCTCCAGGGCCAGAGCCAGATCCGAATGTGCAAGCCCCCTGGTGAGTCCCACCCCACCCAGCCTCCCTTGCCTCAAGGCTGCCTCTGTGTGCTGGGGACCCCCTGGAGCTGGCAGCTGCTTTTCCCCCCCAGACCTGCCCTAGCCAGGAGAAAAGGAGGCAACTGTTGGTGCACAGTGTCTCCTTGTGAGCTCTGGAGGGCTCCCCACACACAGACACTTCCTTCCCCCCTCTCCAGGCCCATCTCCAGATGGCCTTTGGCACTTTTTGTGAATGGCTGACTCAGTTCTAGCCCCCCAGATTGCACCAGCCGTGCTCACCCCAACCCAGGCTGTGGGATGCTGCATGCTCTACCTAGATCACCTGCCTCCAAGCCCTGTTCACAAGAGGGAAACTGAGGCACAAGCCTTGTACCACTTGTTCTGTACACAGGCCTCCTCGAACTCAGCCAAGCCTTCAGCCCTGTTATTTTCAGGGGGTTTTCCTGAACTTGGAGTGTTTTCGTCTCTCCTTCTAAATAATTGGTGACAGGTGTACCCAACCATTGCTGGCATTTTTCTCCCTTTGTTCTTTTGATGGGGAGGGGGGGTCTCACTGTATCTCCAGCTGTCCTGGAACTCACTTCCATCCTCCAGCCTCTGCTTCCCCTCCCTGCGTTCTGGGATCAAAGGCACACACCACCAAGCTCAGCTCACTTCCCGCATTTCTTCTGTGACTAAACCCTGAGCAACACTCACTCAGCCCACAGCCCTGCCTGCTCTCCCAGCATGCTCCAGTGACTGAAGGAGAGAGACTGGGGCCCTGTGCACCCTTGGGCCCTTGGACATTGCAAGGTCCTGGCTGTCACAGTTGATGGGGGGCTCAAAATTAACAGGTGCCTGCCTCCTTTTGTAGGAGACCGTCTGCGACAGACAGAGAACCGTGCTACACGGTGCAAAGTGGAACGCCTCCAGCTCCTGCTGCAGCAGAAGCGCCTGCGAAGGAAGGCACGGCGGGACGCCCGGGGTCCTTACCACTGGACCCCCAGCCGCAAAGCTGGCCGTAGCGACAGCAGCAGCAGTGGGGGTGGAGGCAGCCCCAGCGAGGCCACAGGCTTGGGCCTCGACTTCGAGGACTCCGTTTGGAAGCCTGATGTCAACCCGGACATCCAGTCCGAGTTTGTGGTGGCTTAAAGGATCCAGTCCCCTTGGATCTGTACATCCCTTGTCCCTCACACGGGGCAGGAGGACACCACAGACTGGACACTGAGTGGCCCAGCTCTGGGGGGCACGAGGTCACCTACGTTGCCACTTACCAGCCTTTCTGATTCTTTTTTAGCTCCTCCCCAATTGTCTACCCTGCATCCCTGGTCACATGCCCACTCCTCTCTCTTCCCTTGCCATGGTCACGGCCTCTGCGACAGGGCCCTCCCCTCCTTCCTTCTCCAGCTCCAAATATGTAGCAGTCTGTTCCCAGATGGCCCAGACGGAGGAAGCCACCCACCCCAGCCCTTCCGCTCTGCCTAGCTCTCCCCACCCCCTTCCATAACCCAATTCAGGTTTTTAAGTCAATGTAGATTCTCCAAGCACTTTACAGATGAGGGTTGGGGACCCCAGGATGAGTACCCACCCCCACCCGTCTGCAGACTTGGCCACCATTCCAGGCCAGCTGGATTCCCCCGCCCCTCCCACCCCCGGAAAGCTAATAGACTCACAGAGGGTACCTTTGTCCACGAAGCCCACTTAACATAGCCTTCCTCCTGCCTCAGTCTCCCAAGTGCCACAATGGCAGGCCTTTGCCACTGTGCCTGGCTGGCCTGGCTCTCAATGGAGAAAGCTGAAGCAGGTGGCTGCTCTTTGGTCAGGTGGGGGATGCTCCTTTTCCTCACAAGAATGGACCAGCCTCGGCCACCCTTTCTGGACACTGGCCTTGCTGTCTCCTCCCGCCCTCCCTCCCTCCACACACCCACTTCCTTCCCAATGGAGCTTGGGGACTATTTATAGATTTCGTTTTTCTGACTGAGCCAGTAATGGTTGCTATCCTCTAGGAAAAGAAAAACTGGGGTAGGTTGTAGGAGGGCGGCCCAGAGAGACACCCCTGTACCTCTTCTCCAGGCCCAGCCTAGCTGGGGATGGGAAGGGGGTGCTGAGCTGTGACTGCATTAACCCCGCCCTGGGGAGGGTGCACTGCTGGTCCACATTGGCTCCATGAGTGAGAGCCCTCCCCTTGAGTTGGGGCCCACATAGCAGGGGTGATCTTGGGGTTTTTTTTATCCTCCACATTTTGAGATTTTGTGATAAAGGGGATGTGTGCCCACCCCTGACACCTGTCCACGTCTAGACTCCACCTGTCCACGGTCCCTTTGTTCTAGGCTGTGAACCTGTCCTTGTCTCTCCCCCACTGTGTGTTTAAACCTTAATGGTTTGGGATGTGAACATGTGTTGACTAGCTGTAAAGGGTTTTGGGGGTGGGTGGGTGGGAAGAGGGTCCTGAATGGTAGAGGCCAAGCGAGAATTCGGTTTGGTTTTTTTCTATTTTTTTTCCCCCAAAAAGAAAAGGGGTGGGGGGTAAGTGGGTGCATTTTTTAAGCTGTCTTGAATACCTATTTAAATGTGTGTTTTGGGGGGTTTTGTTTTTTAAGCTGCCTTTTTTGTTCGCTGGGCTGAGGGTGGAGGCCTCAGGCCACACTTAGTTCTCTCCCTAGGACGACTTTCCCGGATAGCATTAGCCACCCTCAGGGCGAAGAATCCGGCTGTGGGGATCCACCTCGCCTAAGTCTCCTTTTATTGAAATAAAATTTGAGGGGAAAAGAAAAACCTTACACAAGCACCGAATTTCCTTTTTTTTTGGGGGGGGGGGGTTGAGACAGGGTTTCTCTGTGTAGCCCTGGCTGTCCTGGAACTCACTCTGTAGACCAGGCTGGCCTCGAACTCAGAAATCCACCTGTCTCTGCCTCCCAAGTGCTGGGATTAGAGGCGTGTGCCACCACCGCCCGGCTCGAGCACTGAATTTCAAACAAACGAAAATGAGACAGACTTTAGCCCCTGCTTGCTCCTTTAGGAGTCTCCAGGCGCTTTGTCCAGTGAGTGGGATGCCCTGGTTCCCGAAAATGGTTTCCCATGCAGAGTCCCCAGCTTGGGACCAGCAGGAAGCTGCTTAGGGCGGAGGGAGGGCCTGGCCACTTCCTGCTACCCAAGGCCGGAAGTCCCTTTGGGCGTGGGGCTGGGGCTTGCCCTGGGCGACGCTTTCACTCTCAGTTCCTGGCTCTGAAGTGGGCTGAAGACGGGAACTTGGGAGTCAGTACTGGGGCAGCTTCCCAGCTCCCCGGAGTGGGAGGCGTTCCCAGCCCAGAGACTGGGAAATGCTGTGAGCATCGCGTGCTCTGCTTCTGGCTACAGCCGGAGTGGCTACAGCCGGAGTTGCGCCAGCCAGAGGGAGTCGGGGGGCTGAGGTTCTCAGGGAGTTCCTCGCCAGGCTCTTAGGACCTGCCTCTCGGCCACACCTGCGCATTCCACCCTGAGGATCATGCACCTCCAGGCCTTTGCTCCAGCCGTGCCCCATCAGGGCACGACAGTCTCTGGTTACGCCTGGGAACTTGCCAAGGTGGACGCCCACCTTTTCCCGCCCCCATCCACAAGTCAACCTGGTTCTTCCCCACGTCCTCCATAAGGTGCTTCTCCGGTGTCTCACCTCCATGCTTCCGTGGCTGGGCTGAGACAGCTATCGCTCAGACTGTTAATTCTCTTTATTTTTCAGTGCTCTCCAGACCTACAGTCACACTCCCATTTTCCAGCCCAGAAAACTGACCCTCCCCCCAACACAGCACTGGGCCTGAAGGTCTAGGCCTGTAGTTGGAAGCTAGTCCTCGCCCTGAAAGCCTCACTGAGTGAGAAAAGCTGCCTTCCACAAAGGTGGCCTGGAACAACTCCTTAAGAGTTTTCTGCCCCTCCCTCTGCCCAGTCACCCCAAATCGTCCCGCGCCCACGCCAGGAAGGCGGATGTCCCGTCAAGCCTGATCCCTGGAGAGTTCATGGTCACTGGGCTCAGATGTTTGGGGACATCTGAGGGCACGGGACTTAGGTGAGGATGGGAAGAACCCATGTGTCAGGCTTGGGGGAGGGGCAGCTGCCCCTTGTAGCTCAGATCTACTTGAGGGACCAGGAAGGGAGGCGCCTGCGTCACAACCAGGCAGGAATCCGCCAACCAAGTCCACCAACAGGGCGAGAGATGTCCAGGGGACCTCAAGGTCTGATCCTTGAGATGGCTGTCCTAAAGGTGCATGTGTGTTGGGGAGTCTGATGTCATGACCTTGTGAGGCTATGACACCCCCAGATCATCGCATCACAGTGCTTTCTCCACTCAGCTCGTGCTCAGCGCGTATTGGAATAACCCCAGGGGTCAATCACCCTAGCCCCAAGGTAGAGGCCCAGTGCAAATGGCAGTAAGGAGAGGTAAACTGAGGCTCACACAGCAATGGTTGCCCAAATCACAGCGGGGCGGGGTCGGCCCTTCGCTTCCTTCCGCTCCCCCTACAACACCCCATTGAGGAAAAGGCTGAATGGGAGGGGGGCCGTCCCCCGGAAACCCGATGAGATGGAAACGCGGTTGTCAGGGCAACACACCGGGAGAGGCTCCCGACGTCATCGCGGGAAGGGCGCCTGTCCGCCCCCGCCTGAGCTTCGGCCCAGACTCCGCCCCCATGGAAAGGTCTCATTGGTGGAACCTCCTTTCCGTCTTCCTGAAGTACCAATAGCTCGAGGGTACCTTCTGGAGGCGGGACTTTACCCTGGCGAAGACGTGTGTGCGAGCGCGGAGGCACAGCGGCCCCGCCCCGCTGCCTGCGTGTATGCAAACTTGGGGGCGGGATTCGCAACGCAAGCTTGACGGCTGCTGCTGGGCCTGGACGGAAGAGGGGGCGTTCCTGGGGGCGTCGCACGTGGACCCCCCCAGCACAGGCCCGCCACGAGCACCCCGCTTTGCACACTGGCATTTCTTGCCGTATCAGCTTCTAGTTGACTGGCCTTCACCCGGTTTTCCTACAGTTCCTCGCCTCTTGGGAGGTCTTGAAGATGCAAGGAGACCTGTAGGAGGGGACTTTGCGGGACGAATAGGAGTTTGCCATTTGTTGTTGGAAGAGAAATAGTTGTGTTGCGGCTGCAGTTAGGTCAAGTTGTGAAGAGGTGGGCGAGATAGGAAAAAGAAAAGCTGGGAAGGGCATTGAAGGAGATTCCCCTAAGTCTAGACTTGAGTAGATGGGGGCGGGGCGCCTGGCCATGACCCTGGTTACAATCACCCTTTGGAAGGTGGAGGCAGAAACAGTAGAACAGGTTTGCACTGCACGAAATTCCAATCATCCGGAAGAAGATGCGAGGGCTGATGGCAGAGATGGAGGATGGGGAGGGCAAAGATTTTAAAAGCACGCTCGCATTTTGGATGAGCAGAGTCAGGAGCTCCAGGTCCTCATCAGCTGTCCTTGCCTGTGGTCTCCTTAAAGAAGTAACGGAGAGGTGGGTGGCGTACAAGTGTCATCTCAACACTCAAGAGGCTGAGGTAGAAGGATGACTGCAAGGTCAAAGCCAGTCGGTGCTTATGCCTAGGCTGGCCTAGGCTGAGATGACGACGGTAGGGGCTGGCGACAAGGAATGGTGGTGGCGTTTGCCAAAGCCCCAAGAGGGTAACCTTGCAGATGGGCCGATCTCTGTGACCAGGCAGCCGGGGGCGGGCAGAAAGAGGTCACTACGGGTCGTGGCTTCCTGCCAGAGTCTGGAGTCCCCTGGAGGGAGGGGCGGCCACTTTCCAGTCGGTACCTAGGGACCTGGAAGTAAACTCTGAGATGTCAGAGGTCTGGAGGTGGCTCTGCGTGGGCAGCTAGGAGGAACAGAACCCGTGGAGGAGGCCAGAGATGGTACCCCCAGGGCACGCCGCCCCCGTGGGGCCCCAAACTGCTCCACCCTCCTGCCCAGCCTTGGGAAGGAGGCTATGCTGGCGACGGCTGGGCGTGGAGATTTTCCCTGCAGTCTGATTCCAGCCCCACCCAGGGCCACCTAGTCCTTCCCGGTGTCACGCGGGGCAGGTGAGCCGCTCAGCCTGCCAGGTGGGGGAGGAAGGCTGTCACCTGGAAGACTCCTGCTTCTCCAGTGCAAGGCTGGCTCGTTCCTTGGCTCATCCCTTCAAGGTTTTCTCTATTTCTGTCTCCAACCAGGCCCCTCTATTTTCGTCTTTTCACTGGCTGTCCCACCCCTCCCCTCCCCCACTTCTGCCCCTTATTCGCCCTTCCCCCTCACATTCCAACCTCCGCCCCCGCCCACAGTCGTGGGGCCAGCTGCTGCTTCGGGTGTTCAGGGGACGGATAGGGAGGTGGGTTCTGCCCTGGGTCAGAGGTCCTTTCTCAGAACAGGCTAGGGAGCAGGAGATGGTGCCCCTACCCTTCTGGAATGTGGGGAGGACAGGGCCTTATGGAAGAAGGAGCTCACCCCTCACCCCAGCAGGCAGCTGCAGACAGCTGTCATGGCCCACAATACTTAAGCAGAGCATCACTAACCAAGAGGCCTCCAGACACTCGCGCAGCTGCACCAGCCAAGAGCATTTACTGAGAACTGTGGGCCAGGCTCCTATTGCACAGCACCCCGAGTACCTCCTCCTGACCCTACACTTCTGGATTCTGCAGCATCCAGGGACGTACATGTCCTAGTGAGTGTTCCTGGGTTAGGATGAAGTCGGAGATTGCTAGATGAAGGCCAGCCTGGGCAATTTAGTAAGCTACCCCTCCCTACACACAAACCTGTGGTAAGTGCTGACCTAGCATGGCTGAAGTTCTGTGTTCCCCACAGACAAGGAAGAAGAGTTGGTGTTTGTTTATTTTTATTGTTTTAAATTGACTTCCATATGTATGAGTGTCGTGTGTGTGTGTGTGTGTGTGTGTGTACCACGATCATGCTCCCCATGCCCCATGCCCGAAAGCCACAAGAGGACTTCTGATGAATCCCCATGGGACTGCAGTTACACATGACTGTACTTGCTATGAGTGTTGGGAGCCCACCCGGGCCCACTGAAGAGCAGCCAGTGCTCTTGACTGCTGGAATCTCTCTCCTGCCCCAAGAGTTGGGATATTTGCCTAGCAAATACTCAAGACACCCAGGACTAAAAGCAGCCTCCTCCCTCAAACACAACCACGGGCCAGCCAAGGAGAAGCAGGGGGCTCCCCGCATTGCCTCTGGGCCGACTGGTGGGAAATAGGTGTGTTTGCTGGAGTCAAATGTGCCCTAAGAAAGTGGCTCTTGTGTTGGCCTGTCATCCCAGCACAGGAGAGGGAGAGACAGGAGGGTCAGAGTTCTAGGTCATTGTCCACTACACATCGACTCGAGGAACAGCCTAGGCTTCCCGAGAGACCCTGTCTCACAAGGACAAAACGGAAGAATTTTGCAGAATCTTGGAAATCACACACAAACTGGGGCAGTTA